TGAGGCCAGGAGTTCAAGACCAGCCTGACCAACATAGTGAAACTCTGTCTCTACTAACAATACAAATAAATAAATAAATAAACGAAATGAATGAGAGAGAAAACTGATGTGTTGAATGGGAGGGGAATTAGAGAGGGATGCTGGGGAGGTCTAGACACACACACACACACACACACACACACACACACACACGCAGAGATGATGAAATGGTTTCTTCATTATCCATTTGAACTCTGTTTATTTATCACAAAACAACATTAAACAATAACCAGGAAGGCTCACCACGACTTCCTGCTGCAGCTGTGACAATATTGTTGTAGTATATTTCCTGATGTATCTGTGATTAACGCCTTTTTCATTAAGGTTTTCCCATTCAAAGTGACTTGGAATGCGAATGTGCATTTCACCCAGGAGATTATGGGGAAAATGTTGTAGAGATGCCTGAAAAGTAGGACAAATGTTCTGGCAGCTATGGAACCAATAAATCCTGACTTAACACATAACTCTGCTTTACAAAGAGCCACAGGTGACCTTGCCACTCTCCTGACCCCCCTACCGAAAGTTCTTTTTCTTTCTGTCCCAGCTAAATTAGTCTCTTTTTACTCTCTTGATAGTCTCTTTCAGAATTAACTACTTCCATTGTAAGTGATGAAATGTAAAAGGCTCCACTTCAGATGCTGGCATTGCTATGAGCATGGTCTTTCCCTTTACTGCAATTCAGAGTTAACACTTTTGATTCTTGGGGTTTTTAAATTTTATATATATATATATCTGTTTTCAGAGATGGGGTCTCACTATGTTGCCCAGGTTGATCTCAAACTCCTGAGCTGAAGCAATCCTCCTGCCTCAGTCTGCCAAAGTGCCAGGATTACAGGCAGGAGCCACTAGGCCCAGCCTGATTCTTGCTTTTTATATTCCAGTCTCATAAGTAGTTTCCACTGTGGAAGTTATCTGATGACAGTCTTATTCTTTCTAGTAGTGGCTTACAATCAGGCTTAGCTTCTCCAGGAACACTACAAGATGGGCTTAGTTTAAATACGTTTTAAACTAAAAGGCATTCTCTCAAATGAGTTTAAATGCATTTAATTTTTAGACAACCTACCTGACATATTTTTCTTAAAGACAATGTCTACACTCCAGATAAATTATGGTCAAAATAAATGAAGAGCTCAAGATGATATCAATCCCATTTGTTCGAAGTCCTGGTGTTATGTGGATGACAAGTAGAAGCCAGTTATGATGACAAGTGAGAGATCCAAAGTAATTGCCAAATTTGTTAACATTTTTACATTTCTAAACCATCCTTAAAGAGAATCACTGGGCACGGTGGCTCACACCTATAATCCCAGCAGACAGGCCAAGGCAGACAGATCGCTTGAGCTCGGGAGTTCAAGACCAGTCTGGGCAACACAGCAAAACCTCATCTCCACAGAAAATACAAAAATTAGTCGGGCTTGGTGGCACGTGCCTGTAGTCCCAGCTACTTAGGAGGCTGAGGCAAGAGGACCACTTGACTCCAGATGGTGGAGGTTGCAGTGAGCTGAGATTGTGCCACTGCCCTCCAGCCTGGGTGGCAGAGGAAGACCCTGTCTCAAAAAAATATATAAGTAGAATAAAACAAAATAACAATTGAGTCAAAAGGTTTTGAAAAGTATTTAAAAAAAAAAAAGAAAGAAAATTATATATGGGGTCACACTGTTACCAGTGGCAAATCCAAACGTGTTTGCAGCAACCTCAATTCTAGCCTTCTCAGAAGAAAGAATTCCATCAAGGAGGCAGAGGCAAGAGTCAGAGCAGGAGTGAAAGTTTCTTAAAAAGCTTTAGAGCAGGAATGAAAGGAAGTAAAGTACACTTGGAAGAGGGCTAAGCGGGCAACTTGAGAGATCAGCTGCACCGTTTGACCTTTGACTTGGGGTTTTATATGTTGGCATGCTTCCAGGGTCTTGCATCCCTTCTCCCCAGATTCCTCCCTGGGGGTGGGCTGCCCACATGCACAGTGGCCTGCTGGCGCCTGAGAGGGAAATATGTGTAGTGTGTTTACTGGAGTTGTACGCATACTCACTTGAGGTATTCTTCCCTTACCAGCCAAATGTTCCTAGGTGGTTATATACCAGTTAAACTCTGCCATTTTGCCTCTTAGTGTGCAAGCTTGAGCCCACTCACTCAGTTCCTGAGATCTTATTGGGAAGCTCCTTATCACCAGTTTCGGGTGTTTTTCTATCTACTAGGAGACTGCCTTTCCCTGGAGCTGGATGCAACCAATAATAATAATAATAATAATAATAATAATAATTGAGATGGGTTCTCGCTCTGTCACCCAGGCTGGAGTGCACTGGAGCAATCTAGGCTCACTGCAACCTCCGCCTCCTTCAAGTGATTCTCATACCTCAGCCTTCGGAGTAGCTGGGATTACAGGTGAACGCCACCACACCCGGCTAATTTTTTTGTATTTTTAGTAGAGATGGGGTTTCACCTTGTTGACCAGGTGGGAAGTTCTTCCCAGGCGGGAAGAACTCCTGACCTCAGGTGATCTTCCCGCCTTGGCCTCCCAAAGTGCTGGAATCACAGCCATGAGCCACCACACCTGGCCATGACCAATTATTATTTTAGAGAGACAGTTAACAACCACCTGACCATCACCTGATGGTCGCCTGACATTCCTGGTGGGGGTAGGTGGAGACCTCTTATTCCCTGCTCATGCATAACTAGCTGCCTACTGTAATAACACCAGTCTCATGGTAGTCCAATAGAGCAACCATGCCATCTGGATTCATGTTTTCACTAATAAAAACTGGTATTTTTTTTTTTTTATTTTATTTTATTTTTGAGACGGAGTCTCACTCTGTCGCCCAGGCTGGAGTGCAGTGGCCGGATCTCAGCTCACTGCAAGCTCCGCCTCCCGGGTTCACGCCATTCTCCTGCCTCAGCCTCCCGAGTAGCTGAGACTACAGGCGCCTGCCACCTTGTCCGGCTAGTTTTTTGTATTTTTTAGTACAGACGGGGTTTCACCGTGTCAGCCAGGATGGTCTCGATCTCCTGACCTCGTGATCCACCTGTCTCGGCCTCCTAGCAAGGGTGTGCTTGATTTGTTCTGCAGCCTCTGTCGTAACAGGTTTTACTCTTTCTGGTCTCTGTTCTTCAAGTTTGCCTTTGATTGATTGCATGTAATCTTGGATGTACTTATTGTATGCTTCCTTTGTAAAGCTGCTTTCTTTCAAAGGATGGTTCTTGACAATCTTAACACCAGTGATTACAGTGCTGTCTGTACGTTTGCCCTTTGGGCCTTCAGCGGAGGCATTTCCACCAATGAGAGAGTCATCAATGCTACCCTCTGTCCTAGTGACCATCTTCTCCTCCACCTTCAGGCACAGCCCTTCAGCCATCTCCTGGATCTTGTAAATGTTGCAGAACATCTCATCGTGGCTGATGAGGTCCTGGTGAATAATCATAATTGTGACTGAAGGGCGAGACAACGGGGCTACCTTAGCAGGAGCCCTGAGCTTGAGCAGTGCAGCGCTGGGGGACAGGGGAGCTGGTGGAAGAGCCCTAATAGGAGCTCTGAAAGGAATAACAGTGACAGAAAACCCAGTTTACCCATCTGAGAGAGTTTGTGGGTTCAGGAGTAGAAGAAAGGCAATTTGGAACAATAGCTTGGAATAGTGGAACTCAGAGAAAGTTTCCTGCAAAAAATGCTGAAGCCAGCAAGGGGTAAGCGGTAAATAATACACCTTATATACTGTCTTAAATTGTACCCATTAGAGATTACTCACAATTAATTATCATCATCCTGTTTTTAAAATGGCTGACGTAAACCAATCAAAACTTTATGTAAATTTATTACATATGGCAGCTTTCACCTAACCTCCTTTCATGGTTCTCAAACTTTGGCATTCATAAAAATCACCTGGAGAGCTCGTAAAACTGGAAATTCCTGAAGCCCTGACTTCAGAGTCTGATTCAGTAGATGGAGACCAAGAATCTGCATTTGAATATTCAATTTGGTGTTTCCAAATTAATTCTCCATTGTGTGTTTTACCTATCACTGGTGAGTCTCACATAGGTGACCCTTGGTTCATATTTTGAGAAACATTTTGTCTAGATGCACTGAGAAAATGATAGTTTGACCTCTGTTCTGCTACTTACTGGCTGACCCTGAGCAAGTCACTTTTATTCTCTGGGCCTTAGTTTCCTCCTGTGTAAAATGCAGTGGTAGATGATGGTAAGAATGAAATGAAAATACCTATGTAAAGGACCACATACATACATGTAAATTCTCTCAACTGTTATTCTAGTTAAATACTGAAGACTTGCTACATTGCTTCCCCCATAAATTGTGTTCTAGTGCCAAACTGAATTATCCAAACTTTTGAAATGCAGTCTATTTGCATCCTTGCATCTCGAACCTAGTATAACGTTGAGCTTATTTACCAAATACCATATGTCCAGAAAGCAATTAACTTTCTTTTTTTTTTTCTTTTTTGAGATGGAGTCTTGCTCTGTCACCCAGGCTGGAGTGCAGTGGTGTGATCTTGGCTCACTGCAAGCTTCACCTCCTGGATTCATGCCATTCTCCTGCCTCAGCCTCCTGAGTAGCTGGGACTCTAGGTGCCCACCACCACGCCTGGCTAATTTTTTGTATTTTTAGCAGAGACAGGGTTTCACCGTGTAAGCCAGTATGGTCTTGATCTCCTGACTTCGTGATCCACCTGCCTCGGCCTTCCAAAGTGCTGGAATTACAGGCGTGAGCCACCATGCCCGGCCACAATTTACTTTCTAATGCTACAGACTGTCAGCATAAATGCTAAGGTCATTAATTTTGCATGGAACTTAGTCTGTACACTGCTTTTCCATAACTCTAGTTTACATGGGATAATTCCACTTACAAATCCTACACACTGTTATTGTGGGATCTGGCCAGCAGCCCAAAATGCAACGGGGCTCTCTCTTTGTTCCCAGGCGGATTGGCAGGTCAAGAAATAACAGACACACACAAGATAGTGAAAGCTGGGTCCAGGGGGGTCACTGCCTTCTGGTCCCGCGGTGCCAACAATGCACTGGATATACCAACATTTATTATTAAGTTTAGTGAGGGCAGGGGTAGGTTAGTGAGGGATTTAGGGTCATTTGATTATGAGGTGAGATGGTCACATGGGGATGAAGTAATCCTTTAACATAACATCTGTATGCAGAAGTAGAGTATACAGAAGTGAGAATTTACAATATAGTATGCGCATCAGTAATTTCTAACAGAGCCTTAAAACAGAAACACCGTCTTTCCATTACCTATGATTAGCAAAATATTAATCACCAGTAACAGTTGCAGCAAGAGCTGGTTACAAACAATCCATGGTAACAGGATGTGAAGCAAGACAACTGGTTAGACCAGAAATTCTCAGAAGGGAGTATGCCTTAACCCTAAAGAGGCCTAGAAGAGCCATGGTAAGATGAGGGCGTTTATAGCCCTATCTTATCCATATGGACAGACACCCCCCGTGCGTCCATTTATAGGCTCTCCACGAGGGTCGCGTTCCATTTCCAGAGCTATGAACATCTGCTTTTCTGGGATAGGAATCTTGGTGATGTGAAACCTCCCTGACTGCACGTCCATTCATAGGCTCTCTGGAGGGGGAAGCACATCACGTGCTGTTGGCTCATTCTGGCAGTCCAACCTGGCATTGTCTTTACACAATCCTGCATGCAATTTTGTATTTACAATAATCAGGAGCATTTCATCTTTTATTCCATAGCAATAGTTTCAGGGGGTCTCCCTACACACTGTGATATAGGCCTAAGGTTTGTCACTGTCTTACAATCTCAGGGCTCTGCAGGAATTCATTCTTCTTTTTTCTTTTTCTTTTCTTTTCTTTTCTTTTCTTTTCTTTTCTTTTTTGAGACAGGGTCTCACTCTGTCACCCAGGCTGGAGTGTAGTGATGCAATCTCAGCTCACTGCAACCTCCGCCTCCCAGGCTTAAGCGATTCTCCCGTCTCAGTCTCCCAAGTAGCTGGCATTACAGGTGTGAACCACCACCACCTGGCTAATTTTTGTATTTGTAATAGAGATGGTTTCATCATGTTGGCCAAGCTGTCTTTTTTTTTCCTTTGGTATTGCTTTCCTTGTCTACTCAATCCCCACTAATTTAACAATTTAAATTAGTTAATAATAAATTATTAACTAATTTATTATAATTTATTACTTAACAATAAATTATTAGCTAATTTATTAGTTAACAATAAATTATTAACTAATTTATTATTACAATTTATTAGTTAATAATTTATTATTAACTAATTTATTTTCCATAAGGTTTGTGCAGAACAGATTAAGAAAAGTGTTTAAGGAATTGATGTTTTCATAAAGTTTATATAGATTAGATTAAGAAAACAATGTTTAAGATATTGTCCATTGCAACTAAAACTTCAAAAGTGCCTACTTTTGAAGTGTTTTGTTTGCTTTTGTTTTATTTTGGAGAGGGCATCCCACTATGTTGCCCAGGTTGGACTCACATTCCTGGGTTCAAGTGATACTTCCACCTCAGCCTCCAGAGTAGTGGAACTCTAGGCATGCGCCACTGCACATACCTTTGCTTACCCACTTTGTATCTGAATAAACAACAAAACTGAATCTTCCATGAGCAATTCACGTAATTATTGAAATAATAAATAGTTTTACATTTGTTTTCAAAAAGTTGCCTGTATAATTTGTGTACATGGTCCCCAAATGCCAATGTAGAATGATGCATAAGTTTCCCTCTCTTTTTGGTGGTATGCAAATGGTATAGTATTAAGTTTCAGGTCTAATTTACCACGCTGTGCCCACTGTGTGTGCCCATTGGCTAGGCCAGTCCCTGGCACACAGTGCACCCTCAAAGAATATTTGTTGAATAAATGCATAGGTTTGGAATTTCAGTAGGAGCTGAATTTCCCTTAGAAGCTTATTGAATTGTTTATGTGATACCCTCTATTTTGTTACCTCGCAGTTGATTATTTTACTACCTTTGTTCAAAGTGATTCCTGATCAAATGGCAAAGAAAATGAGTTGAGAAGACCGGGTGCGGTGGCTCATGCTTGCAATCCCAGCCCTTTGGGTGGCCAAGGCAGGCAGATCATTTGAGGTCAGGAGCTCGAGACCAGCCTGTTCACCAACATGGTGAAACCCCATCTCTAAAATATAAACATTAGCCGGGTGTGGTGGCACATGCTTGTAATCCCAGCTACTCGGAAAGCTGAGGCAGGAGGGTTGTTTTAACCCAGGAGGCGGAGGTTGCAGTGAGCCGAGATTGCACCTCTGCACTCCAGCCTAGGTGACAGAGTGAGACCCCACCTTAAAGAATAAAGCTGGCTGAACGTGGTGGCTCACACCTGTAATCCCAACACCTTGGGAGGCTGAGGCGGGCAGATCACAAGGTCAGGGGTTATAAGACCAGCCTGACCAACATGGTGAAACCCCGTCTCTAATAAAAATACAAAAATTAGCTGGGTGTGATGGTGTGTGCCTGTAATCCCAGCTATACAGGAGGCTGAGGCAAGAGAATTGCTTGAGCTCAGTAGGTGGAGGTTGCAGTGAGCCGAGATCATGCCACTGCACTCCAGTTCGGGTGACAAGAGCACAACTCTGTCTCAAAAAAAAAAAAAAATGAGTTCAGAAGATGGGAATGTGATAAACCTCATTTATTTAAAAATCTTCAGATGCTTTTTATGATTCTCCAGAGTCACCAGTGATAATTTTTCAGTTTGCCTTCATCTTCAGCCCTCTTCTAATATTTGAGCTGGATGTTTACACCTTCCTACATAAATTGGCTTTTTCTCTGGCTTTGTTTGACACTGATCTCCCCGGTTGTCTTTCAGGTTGTTCCTTCTGTGTCCTTCACTGATTCTTCTTATTTCTTAAGTGTAGCCAATCATTGACCACCTATTGTTCTTGTTTTGCTATTCTTGTCAGAGAGTGTCTATTTTCAAGACTTCAACTGCTGTCTATATCTTTGGTCCTGGCTTCAATCCTTCATCTTCAAATACTGCTTGAAATCCTTCAGTTGGGGGTTCTGCCTATTTCACACTCATTGGGTTCATAACTGAGCTCACTGCTTAGAACCAGCAATCTTCTTGGAACTTCTGTATTTTTGACGGTGGTCCCTTGATTCATTCATCTAGACTCAAAAAGAGTGATCTTTAAAATGCATTTCCTTCATTTTATTTTGGAGATTATCTGTGAAATCTCTGACTACTGAATGAATAATGTGGAAGCTAATATACTGTCATTCCAGAGAAGCCATGTGCCTACAATTCTCCACAGTGCTCAGAGGGAGTTTATAAGGCAGACACATCAGGCCTGGTACTTTTCCAGTAATTGACAGAGGAGATGGCATATGTGAGTGATGTGGCAGTCATACCGCTGAACTACATGAGGTAATCACAACTGTGGAAAAGTGCAAGAATTAAAGCACTCATTGT